CATCAAATTTCTTGAAATGCTTTAAAGTTGTCATTGATGCAAGTGATGTAGGGGTTGGAGCTGTGTCGGTTACATTTCGAAGAAACTCAACATCCACCAGAGAAAATATTCAACCATTGAAAACTGTTATTGAGTTTGGTAATGGCCCTACAACATTTTAATATTTATGTTGCAACAATGCATCAGAGACCACTGCATATACCAATCACAATCCTTTGACATTTTTGAAAAGATTTAAGGACAAAAACAACTGATTACTTTGTTGGAGTCTTATGTTGCAAGCATTTAATTTACAGACTGTACATGTTGCAGATCGTGAAAATGTTATTGCGGATGTATTATCACGGGTTTAGAAGAAAAATGTGTATACAAGATAGAACTGGTAGGAGACTAAGGACTGCAAATGCTGGAAGCCAGAGGCAACAGATGTGAAGCTGAAAAAGCACAGCGGGTCAGACAGCATACAAGGAGCCGGAAAGTCAACGTTTCGGGCTGAAACCCTTCGTCAGAACTGGGGATGGGGAGAGGAGCCCAAAAGTAAATACAGCGAGGAGGGTAGGGCGGTGGAAGGGTAGGTGGGATGGTGATAAGTGAATGCAGCTAGGGAGTTAGTGTGGTTGGTCAGTGGGAGCGAACAGATGAGTAGGAAGATGGAAAGGTTAGGTCAGGTCAGGGAGGTGAGGAGGAGGGCTGAACATGGCATAAGGCTGGGGGTGGAGAGATTTTGAAGCTGGTGGTCAATATTGAGGCCAATGGGCTGTAAGCTCCAAAGGCAAAATATCAAGTGTTGTTCCTCCAGTTTACATTTGGCCTCACTCTGACAGTGGAGGCCAAGGATGGACATGTCATCAGGGAAGTGGCAGGGGGAATTAAAATAGATGGCAACCGGAACATCAGGTTGGTTGATGCATGCAGCATGCAGATGCTCTGAGAAACGGTCCCCAAGTCTCCCTGATAAAGAGGAGACCACATCGGGAGCAACAGATACAATAGATCAGGTCGGATGAAGTGTAGGTGAATTTCTGCCAGATCTGGAAGGATTGTTTGGGGCCTTGGGCAGAGATGACAGGGGAGGTGTTGCACCTCTTGTGGTTGCAGGGAAAGGCATCGGGTGTGGTAGAGAAGTTGGTGGGGAACGTAGGACTGATGAGGGAGTCATGGAATGAATGGGCCTGGTGGAAAGCAGACAGGGGTGGGGAAGGAAATATCGTTTTGGTGGTGAAGTTGATTGTAGGTGGCAGAAATGTCAGAGGATGACACGTTTGATTCAGAGTTGGTAGGGTGGTATGTGAGGACTAAGGAGACTACCCTTATTGTTTTTGAGGGAGGGGGTTTGAGGGCGTAAGTGCAGGAAATGGAGATGCAGTTCAGGGCATCCTTAAATACAGAGGGCAGAACTGCAGTCTCTAAAGTAGGAGGATATCTGGGATGTCCAGGAGTAGAGCACCTCATCCTGGGAGCAGATGCAGAGGAATTGAAAGTATGGGATAGCATTTTTGCAGGACGGTGGTTGAGAAGAGGTGTAGTCGAGGTAGTTGTGGGAGTCAGTGGGGAGTCAGTTTCGGGAGAGGGAGGTGAAAAGGACCAGGAAGAGGAGGGAGGTGTTAGAAATGGTCCAGGTGAATTTGAGGGCAGGGTGGAAGGTGTTGGCAAAGTTGATGAACTGCTCGAGCTCCTTGTAACAGCACCGATGCAGTCATCAAGCCAGCAGAGAAAGAGGTGAGGGATGGTGCCAGTGTAGTTGGGGAAAAGGGACTGTTCCACAAATCCTACAAAGAGGTAGGCATAACTTGTGCATGTGTGGGTACCCATGGCCACCCCCTTGGTTTGTAGGAAGTGGGAGGAATCAAGGGAAAAATTGTTGAGGGTGAGGACGAGATCTGCCAAGCGAATGAGAATGTCAGTGGAGGGGGACTGATTGGGCCTACGGGAGAGGAAGGAGCAGAGGGCTTTTAGGCCCTCTGTGTGGAGGATACAGGCGTAAAGGGACTGTATATCCATGGTAAAGATGAGGTGTTGGGGGCCAGGAATTGAAAGTTTTGCAAAAGATGGAGGGTGTGGCTGTTCACGAATGCAGGTAGGGAGTTCCTAGATAGGAGGAAATGAACTTGGTGGGACAGGAGCAGGCAGAGACAATGGGTCAACTGGGGCAGTTAGGTTTATGGATTTTGAATAGGAGACAGAAGCAGGCAGTGCGAGGTTGGGAAACTATCAGGTTGGAGGCTCTGGACAGGAGATGTCCCAAGGTGATGAGGTTGTTGATGGTCTGGGAGATGATGGCCGAGTGATCAGAAGTGGGGTCATGATTGAGGGGACGGTAGGAGGAGGTATCAGAGAGTTGGCGTCTGGCCTCAGTGATGTAGAGGTCAGATCACGATACTACCACTGTGCCTCCAACCTCCCTTTATCAGCGGGCTTAACAGTGAGGTTGGAGTTGGAGCGATGAGAGCAGAGGGCAGAGTAAGTGACAGGGGTGGAGAGACCAAGTGATTGATGTTGAAGCACCAGTTTGAGAGAAACGGTAGGGTTCAATATTGTAGGTATATTGAATTAGTATGACATGTGTAACTCTAGATTAATGAACTATGGCTCTAACAATATAATGGCATTAAGGTTTAGAAAAAAAATGAAGCCATCTTTTCATAATGATGGTTCATTTTTTTCTTAAATGGGAGAAATGTTGCAAAGTTGGGTGGAGTACTTGTGGATTAGAAGGCAGGATGTTAGAGTTTGGTGTTTGCAAAACATTGATGTTTATAAAATAAGAGGGGAAAAGCAGTATGTGGTTCCTTTAAAAGATGATGTGTTTTTTAAAAAAAAGATCTTTGGCAGCTTGTGGGTTTGCAGTTGCACAGAGCACCCAAATTGAAACATTTGTATCAAAAGGCTAGATGGTTAGCAGGCCAAGCCACAGTTTTATTCCATTATCAAGACAAGTTTTGATTTAGCCAATTAATTTGAACCAGGCACTTAGATACTAAAAACCAATTAAATTTAAATCTGATGGTTTTGACAACATTGGACCAATCCTATTCTAAGAAATTGATGTGTCATCAAGGGGACAGTTGTAAAATCGGCAGACAGCAAACAGCCATCTGCTAAGAGTTCATCTGTCTCAGCTCTTAGAGAAAGCATAATCTAAATAAAGGTCCCATGGCACTCTTAGTTAATATTCCAGATAGAAGAATTCGACAGAGAAGGCGTTCCTGACAGAAGATTAATGGAGAAAAGAAAGAACATTCAGGAACATGTAACCAGGCTGTAATTTTGAGAGACTGAGTTCTAATTTTTTAAATTTTGGTTTCTATAAGTGGGACTTATATTTATTGGAACAGCATACCATTAGAATCTTATTTTATTCAGAAATGGTTAGTAATTAGAGGGGAATTGTTCGGTTTGTTAATTGTTCATTGTTAGAGTTAGATAAATAAATTGTTACTTGTTGATTATAATCATGAGTGTCAGGAGTTTATTTCACTTAACTACTCCTTTATAACAGATTGTGAGTGAGAGGTGGGTTATACCACTTTTCACACTTCTTTTAACAGATTATAGGGCAAGGAGAGATTCTCTGGATGTTTTGGTTTTAGTTATTAGAGGGGGGTTGTCCTCCGCTCTATAACAGATTGAACAGCTTCCTGTCCGTGCAATGACAGCAACAATCTCCTCCTACAAATGATGTGTGCTAAGTACGAGCTCCAGGTCACCAACACAGTTTTCCAGCTCTCTAATTACAACTGATATCTTGCATGCAAACCCATTTCATATATTGTATCTAAATGATTAATGCATCACCAGGCAGAGGGACAGGAGGATGCGCGTATAATGAAATCCATGTGCAGCGTTCACTGCTGGACTGACCACCATTCATCATGTAGAAGCCAAGTATCAAGATCTATCTTCAAGATGGCCCCAGGGCGGAAAGGTCCACAAGCACCTCCATGTCTCAAGAATCAAACAGGAATTTCTCTCAGGGAAACTTGAGAATTGCCAACATACAGAAAAAATGAACACTCTGCATTTAGTGTATTGAGGATATCTGAGCAACCTTACACTGCTCCAAAGCAGGCCCCAGTCTTACCTCTCCTAAGCATTAAGACCGTTTCAATGAAAAGAATAAAGGTAAGCCAGAAACATTTGAAGGTCAAATATCATTTCTACAGCATTTTAACTCGATGATGGATCAGGGTGGAGGCAAGGTTAATGTCAAACACATTTTAAAACAAAATGATGGATGCAGTGGCTATGCAATTAAATGAACTTCAGGATATCCAATAACTGGTAAGGCTTTTATAAATCTGGGTAAGTATGGAAGGCTACGAGAGCAATAATAACGTTTCTTGCTGGCCACAAACAAAGCACAAAAAAAAGTGTTTGCACTGAAACCCATACGTTAAACAAAATCAATACGAAGATACATGTAAACATTACAGAAATGTTGCATTTTCAAATATTCATCTCAAAGCAAGCAGAAGACAAGAGAACAAAATTCATATATTTAAAAATAAGGTTAGAGGTGTCATTTGAATATATTAGGTCCGATTCCCCATTAACCTTATTTGAATTTCAGGCAAACAAACTTAAAATATTCATGGGAAGCAATTATTAGATCAGCACTGTCTAAACATCCTCTATGTCAACAGTTTAGTTTCACTGGAGCTGAATCAAATCTGCCCAAACTATGTTCCCAACTCTTCAAAAAAGAAAATAGATTGGCATACTGACAAAATAGCCAGTTGTAATTAAAGCAAAGTGTTGGAGAAACTCAGCGGATCTGACAGCATCTGTGGAGAGAAAACAGAGTTAATAAGTCTGATATAACCCTTTCTCAGTGCTCACAGATGCTGCCAGACCTACCAGGCTTCTCCAGAACTTTGTATTTTTATTTCAGATTTCCAATTTCCAACATCCGCAGTATTTTGCTTTTAAATAACTAGTTGTAACAGATTGTACTTTATTGGTTGGTAAGTTTTTCAAACAGCAAAAACAAATGGACTTACTTGGTCAGCTCCTGAAACTCTTCATATTCCTGTTTAACAGAAGATATGTCATTCTGCGCTTGTAGAAGTCGAGCTTTAAGCCTTTCTTGTGATGCTGCAGAAACGTTTTCAACTTTGATAGGTGACTGGTACGAGGTCAGACCTAATAAATGAATTGACATAGCATCTCTTGCTTGTTACAATTTGAGGGAACAACACAGCAGATATTAGGACTAAGCCAAGAATAGTGAAAAGAACACAAACATAGTCATTATATCAACAAGCACGTATTAGTACTATCAATCAGTTATCAGGAAGCAGTTTTATCAAGCAAATTAACCCGACATGCTAAATTACAAAAGCTGCATAAAAGAACATTTACCTCCAGCATTTTTATCAGAAATAGAGGCTTGCAAAAATGCCCTTTCCAATTCTGCTGCCATGCATGAAGTAATTTCCTTAGCACGTTTCACACTGTCCAAGGAGTTTAAGTATTTGTTTTCTTCCCGCAATGCACGATTCTCCATTGCATAACTGGCAACCCGAGGGTCTTGTTCAATCTAGTAACACAAGACAGTATAGATTCCTACAAGGTATTTTATGTTAATTACAATCAATGTACATCTCAGAAACAGAATATCTGGCTCAACTGGTCCATGCTGACACTCATCCACCTCATCTCACCTGACCCAGTCTACATATCTTTCTGTTCCTTACTCCCTCACAATTTAACTAGCTTCTTCTTAAAGGAATCTATGCTACATGTTTTAAATGTTCAACATTTTAAATGTTAAAACTGTTGAGTTAAGTTTTCTTAAGGCAATTTTACGATTATGACCCCGAGGTTTGGGCTCCTTTCAAATGGAACACTTCCTCTAAAAATTAGCACGAGGGCTGATAAAAGTCTGTTTATTAGGTCAAACTTCAGCCTCTGTTTCCTAGAGAAAAGAAACCCAGCCTGTCAATCTTTCCTGATAATTATACCCATCATTGGAAATCTCTTTTCCACCATCTCGGTGGTTGTATACTCCTTTTATGGTATGCAGATGATAACAGTGCACAATATTCCAATGTTCTCTATATCAAAAAGTCATAAATGGAAGGTCAAAGACCTGAAACATTAACTCTGTTCTTTTCTCCACACGTCACCCGACCAGCTGAGTATTACCAGTATTTTCTGTTTGATTTTATATTTCCAGCATTTTGGTTTTTTTTTGAAAAGTCCTGTGCAAGTTTAACATAATGTGTGCGCTTTTAAATTGTTCCTCTGAAAATGAACTAGTACTGTCACCATTTTGAAACAAAAACAGAAATTTCCATTTTTGTTTCACATTTCCATCATCTGCAGCTCTTTGCTGTATTTTCTGTGTTAGCATTGTTGCGACCTCAATGACTTGTGTTACCACTGTTTTGTGATTTAGAACATGTACTTCTAGAACGATTTGCTCCATGGAAAGATAAAACTCAACAACATTTATATTAGAGATAGTAGGAACTGCAGATGCTGGAGAATCCGAGACAACAAGGTGCAGGGCTGGATGAACACAGCAGGCCAAGCAGCATCATAGGAGCAGAAAGGCTTACATTAATATTAACCTGGTTGATGAAAAAAAAACAATAAGCAACACCTTACTTCGCATAACTTATCATTTGGAGTTACTAAATCATTTAGAGGTCTTGTAGTACAACAGATATCAATCCTGCCTCTGAACGAAAATCTCCAGGATCATGTCACACCCCAGAACTGGACAGCCAAAGGTTTAGTCATTACATGATGAAACAGGTTAAGTATCCGCCTGTAAATCCTTACAACATATGCCAATAGCAGATCATAATAGCAGAAGAAATTCACGATCACCATGTAATGCAAAGAATGGTCGTGTTTCTACCTTCACTATCCATAGCTCCAGGCTACAATGAGCAGTTAAAAAGTGCATATTACCACGTTCTGCATGAACTATAACACACCACCACTGAACATTTTAAAAAAATGAAATTAATCTTAAACTGTTTGTAAAATAGTTTTCAATATCTTGCTTTGCTGAAAAGAATTGTAAAAAACAAAGTGACTTCACATTTCCAAGAGATTAGAAATTCAAATAGACTACCGTATTCAAAGATGATTCAAGACAAGTTAAAATTCTAAGCATGCCAGTTTCCAGGCAAATATCTCACCTGTTCTTTTAAAGTTTGAATTTCTTCTCTCAGTTCATTGATTACTGCATCCTTTTCATCAGAAGGTAGGGTTTCTCGAGATGCCTTCAGGACCTTTTCCAAACGTGCTATGGTGGTTTCTCTGAATTTCACAATCATCTTGTTTGATTGAAGTATCTTTTCCTTTTTGTCACACACATCTTTAAGTTGACCAATTTTTTCTTTCAGGTTCTGAAAAACAAAGAAAAAAAAATGATAAAGAATCAAGGCACAAGTGTTAACACACAAGTTATTTTAGCAATTAGGGGAAGTGCTTTTCTTTTCCATATTCACTCACCTTCAAACTCTCCTGTCAAATGCCTTCTGGGACAGAGTTCGCAAATCCCCTACTGATGCATGCTGATTTCTACATCATGCAGTCAATGTTACTTCAACTGTAACTGCATTTCAACACTGATGCAAATTCAGTCCCAATAATAAACTAAAATGTTAGTATCACTTAATCCAAAACATGTTTAGACACCAAAACTTAATTAAAATGGCTGAAAATCATCCAGCTTTATTTGTAAATGATTCTTTGTTGGAAGGTTAGCACTAGTGAGGGCAACATTTGTTGCCAATCCCTGAATGTCTTGGACAAAATGGTGCTGCTGCAATCCATGCATTTTAGGTATACCCAGAGTGCTCTTTAGGAAGGAGTTCTAGGATTTTGATCCAGCAACACAAAGAAGGGATGGTGATAATACTTCCAAGTTAGCATGATGTATGACTTGGAGGAGTGGTGCTCCCATGCATCTGTTGCCTTGTAGATGGTAGATGTCATGCGTTTGGAAAGTGATATCAAAGGAGTCTTGCTGAGTGGCCAAAATATATCTTTCTGGTAGTGTCCACTTTGTGTTGGCGACGAAGGGAGTGGGTGTTCATATGGGGCATGGATTGCCGATCAATGACTGTTTTGTCCTGAATAATTTTAAGCTTCTGAGTATTGCTGGAGCTGCATGGATCTAGAAAAGTGAAAAATATTCCCTCTCACTCTGGACAAGGGCACTTGCAGACCATTGACAGGGTTCAGGGAGCCAGGAGAGGTATTTGGCAGAATTCCCAGCCTCAGTATTTATATGGCTGACACAATTAAGTTTCTGGCCAATAGATGTTGATGGCAGGGGATTCAGCGATGGTAATTCGATTGAATGTCAAAGGGAGATTGATTAGGTTCTCTCTCTTGTTGAAGATGGTCACTGTCTGATACTTGCATGGCCTGAATATTACTTACCACTCAGCACATGAAATGGGAATACTGTGATGTCATGCAACTGCAGACATGTACTGTTTCACTATCTAGGAATACTTGTACATCCCCTCAAAACAAAAATAAATTTAGCTGCAATCTAACCTGGTTTTGACTTTCACTGTTCTCCCAAAGAAGCATTGCTTCCAAAAAGTGATTCTTCCATTTACTGTCATCTACTTCACTTTTCTCCACAGAATCAGCATCTGATAAAAGTGAAAGAAAACACTCAAAGCATTCATTCTGTTGAGCTTTCTAAAAACAAATCTCAATAAACCTACATTAGGCTTATATGATAAAACTGCAAACTTCAAAATCACATAAAAATATTGTTGGGTCTGAGCAAAACCAAAGTTCAAATAAAGTAATTGTTCAGCAACTGATTGATTCTATACTTTGTGGTCTTTGTATGTATCTGGCAGCCAGCTGAAGAGTTAACTACAGAAACTCAAATAAACCACTTGGTTTCATCAGCACATTGTCTGTTAACCCCAAAAACCTTTCATTAGAGCCAGTAGTTTTCTTAATAAGTGTAGCACTAAACACAAGACTAATCAGAGTCAATGATGTGTGCATTCTCTTGCTCTTCAAGAAAGTATAATGAAAAGGAAAGACATCTTTTATGTTGTGCCTCTGACAACCTCAGGATCTCTCTAAAGCTCTTTGGAGTTCGTGAAGTACTTGTTATGCGTTGTAAAGTAGGAATCATAGCAGCCAATTTCTGCACAGCCAACTCCCACAAACAGATTTGACAAGGACAATGTTCTTTAGATTTTACATTAGTGTAATTTTGACTGAGGTATAAATATTTATCCATTAGGGATAAACATCTTTTTCTTCAGTTAACACCACGGCATCACTTGCATCCACCAGAGGATGAACAGGGCCCCAGGTTCACATCTCACCCAAATTAAATCAAAGCTTGTTGCTTGCAGTTTAGAAACAAAACCATTACGTTGGTAACAATTAATTTAACATAGAAGTAAAATTCAGTTAAGTGTGGGCTTATTTATTTGTGTAGAAAACAAATTCTGATTACTGGATCATGTTAACACTTCCAGGTAAGAATAAAAAGCAATTTTGCAAACTGCCCCAAAATATTGTAAAATGTTCGTAATGGAGAAACAGTTTTTTGGAGGCAAAGAATTTATAGTAGGCCATCCTATGCCAGTGTTAATTCTCTTACATAAGCCACATCCCATTCTTTGACTTTATCTTAGTCTATGTGTTCTTCCATTCCTTTCTCCTTCATGTATTTATCTACTTTTACCTCAAACACATATACACCGTTGGCCTCTATTGTACCATATGTTGGTGAGTTTCATATTCTCAATACACCAAGTTGTTTAAGGGCTCTTGTAGCACAGTGATGGTGTCTCTACTTCTGAGTCAGGAAGCCTGAGTTCAAGTCCCACCTGAGGTGTATTACAGCATCACTGAGCAGTTGATTAGAAAATATCTTGTTAAAGCAATGCAATTAACTTTGGCCCAGAAAGGGAACAAATTAAAAAAAAACTCCTCTATTTTCTATTGTACAAGAAACATTATTTTAATCGGCACCTTGTCAGTTGGCACTTTTGATAAACCAGTAGAAATTATATACCTCAAATATCGAGATGTCCAAGTATTTACACTGTAAATAAACTATAACAGTGATGTGTATACACCTGCAAAATGTTCCTATTACTTACTGTGTGTTTTTACATTGATTTTAGGTGTGCTGATGTTTTTGAGGGATGTTGATCTCTTGAAGCTTTTCTTGGTCAGGGTTTACTGAATATTTCATCAACCAGCACCGTCTTGGTCCCATAGATGCCAGTTAATAAAAGGTTTGCTGTATTTATTACTGATCCTCAAATTTCTCGACTCCAGCTTTTGACTTCTTATTAAATGGAAACAGATCATTTACATCTACCTACCTTTCATAGTATAATAATAATCATAATAATATTGTTCATAACCTCTATTAGGTATTTTCATTCCAAGAGGAAACAACTCCATGCTGTTCATTTTTTCCTGATAGTTATACCTCCTCAGTTCTAGGATCATTCTGGTAAATCATTTCTGAATTTCAGCCAGTGCTTCAGCAACTTTCTGATGAGACCAGAAATGTGTACAGTGTTCCAAGTGTTTTCTAATCAAGGTTCTACATGTTTGAAATATTTATCTGCTTTTTAATTCAGCTCATTTGGAAAATGGACTCCAATCTTTGTGAGATTTCATTCGTGTTTTAAAAACAGTTGTCAACCTGTAATGACATTTTTAATGAATTGCATATCTGTACCCTTAGATCCTTCTCCTCTACGTAAACACAGTTTCTAAGAAATAGGTAGTCTCCTTATTCCTATCAAACTGCACCATCTCCATTACTTCCACTTACAAGCCCATTCTGCCAGTTTGATAATATTTATCTGTACTTTGGAGTTTTCCTTCTGTATTAAACTTTAGCACACCACCTTATATACATATATTCCTCAATGCCTAAGACGTTAACGGGCTACCTACCTCTCCTAGCCTCTGCCCACTGTGACATTTGTCCTTTCGACAGCTCGAAAAGCTGTTCTTTCAGCTTCTTGATTTCTGCCTGTAGCTGGGCAATGTTGCCTTGCGTATCTTCATTTACAATGGCCTACAACAAAAGGTGCATAAGTTGGTATTACATCAATCAGCAGCTTGACAATAACACAGCAATAAAAAAGGAAGCAACAAATTATCAGAGATAGTAGGAACTGCAGATTCTGGAAAATCTGAGACAACAATGTGCAGTGTTGGATGAACACAGCAGGCCAAGCAGCATCATAGGAGCAGTAAGGCTGACGTTTCGGGCCTAGACCCTTCATCAGAAATGGGAGACGGGAAGGGGGTTCTGAAATAAATAGGGAGAGAGGGAGAGGCAGATAGAAGATGGATAGAGGAGAAGATAGGTGGAGAGGAAACAGACAGGTCAAAGAAGTGGGGATGGAGCCAATAAAGGGGAGTGTAGGTGGGGAGATAGGGAGGAGATAGGTCAGTCCAGGGAGGACGGACAGGTCAAGGGGGCGGGATGAGGTTAGTAGGTAGGA